TTAAGCGCCAACTGCTGCTTCAGCGGGGACCCGCTGGCGACTACCTCAGGGGGGACGAGCGGGTTCCCGCCATACAATGTTGCCACGCCTAATTTATTATTAAATATTTATTCTTGATCTTAATAAGTCTACTACATCTTTTATTTATAAATTGAAATCTTGATGATAGTTTAAGCTTTCGTTTAATTATATTATCAAGTCACCTTCCAATCGGGATCGGGATTAGAAGTGTATACTAACGCATTTGGTGAATAGCCTAAAGAAATGGCTAGGATATCAATATAAATTTATATCATTTTATAGCAGTAATTTGTTACATTTAACAAATCAAATCAAATTTATTTTAATACAACACATTAAGTAATTTATTCTAGTAATAATTGCAGCTATACTGCAGAATTAATTATTAACTTATAAGCAGTGGTGAGGAAATTAAGGGAAGGGGTGATATTTATGTCACGTCTGTGTGATCCCGTACGACTGTATTCATCACCTGACTGAATTCAACGACCAGTTCCTATGGAATACTGAACTACAAGTGTATATTGAAACGTGTGGTTTATAAAATTAATAAGAATAAAATTATTTATATAAATAATAATTAATAAAATTTAATATTTTAATGTAAATGAGGGAAACATTTTCCACGTCCCTCTGTTGGATCACAGAGCCCCTCTGTTGGACCAGAGTCCCCTCTGTTGAACCACAGAGCCCCGCTATTGGATCACAGAGCCCCTCTGTTGGACCAGAGTCCTCTCTGTTGGACCACAGAGCCCCTCTGTTGGACCACAGAGCCCCTTTGTTGGACCAGAGCCCTCTCTGTTGGACCACAGAGCCCCTCTGTTGGACCACAGAGCCCCTTTGTTGGGCCAGAGCCCTCTCTGTTGGACCACAGAGCCCCTTTGTTGGACCAGAGCCCCCTCTGTTGGACCACAGAGCCCCTCTGTTGGACTAGAGCCCTTCTGTTGGACCACAGAGCCCCTCTGTTGGACCACAAGTACCACAGAGCCGTGCACACCGACATCTCTCCTCCATTAGGACGACGCGAGAAAAATATTGAAGTAAAGTTTCCTTCAGAGATTCTCAACCAACAAAGGGAAAACAAAAATCTTAATAAAGTCGGCCTTGTGTGATGAGGAGCCTCGAGCGTCGACCAGGGATCAAGTCCCCCCCTCCAACACTCGAGGTGAAACAGAACCCGACCGCAGGAGGGGGAGACTCCGCAAGATCTTCCTACGTCAAGAAAAGATAGGCGTCAGGAAGGTGGAAATAGCTTGAGCTACTCTATCTGTTTAAAATGTATCTTATATTTTTTATATCAATAATTTTGTTTGAAATTGACTTAAAGGAAGTGGTAAAGCTTTTGACTTTTCTCAGTTTCATCATTAAATAAAAGCATTATTATCACAGGAAATTTAAAATTAATCATATTTGAACTGTATATATTTCTTAGATGAAAATGTTTATGAAGTTAAATATTTATACAAGATTTAGGTTTCAGTTCAATGTTTATACTCTTGGTATAGTTATTGAATAATTTATGGACTATATAAATCAGACCAGGTCATTGCTCTGACCTTTGACCTTATCTCTCCCCTGCTGACTGCAACTGATTAATGCAGTGTTTGTAATTCCGTAGAGTGAATAGGTCCTGTGCCCCGGCTCCTCCAAGACAAGGATGTCTTAATTGATCTGCAATGGAACTTTGAATGGTCGTTTGTGGTGTGACTCTTCAGGTTTCCCTCAAATTGGTCATCAGTTTCCTCATTAAATGTGGTATTTTTTTTTCCTCATGACCACGTTTAATGTTGGCTTTCCTCATACATCACAATGTAAACATTGCTCGGCTCACATGTGTGTGTGTATGTATGTATGTGTATATATATATATATATATATATATATATATATATATATATATATATATATATATATATATATATATATATATATATATATATATATATATATATATATAATCCCTCACCTCTCATTGTCAACGTTACACTTGAGATTCTCCTTTACCCTCACCCCTCACACACCCTCACCCCTCACCCCTCACACACCCTCACCCCTCACCCCTCACACACCCTCACCCCTCACCCCTCACACACCCTCACCCCTCACACACCCTCACCCCTCACACACCCTCACCCCTCACACACCCTCACCCCTCACACACCCTCACCCGTCACACTACCACACACCCTCACCCGTCACACCCTCACCCGTCACACCCTCACCCGTCACACACCCTCACCCCTCACACACCCTCACCCCTCACACACCCTCACCCTTCACCCCTCACACACCCTCACCCCTCACACACCCTCACCCCTCACACACTTTCACCCCTCACACACCCTCACCCCTCACACACCCTCACCCCTCACATACCCTCACCCCTCACACACCCTCACCCCACACACACCCTCACCCCTCACACACCCTCACCCCTCACACACCCTCACCCCTCACACACCCTCACCCCTCACACACCCTCACCCTCACCGTACACGCATCACAAAACTAACCTACAACAGAGGCAAGAATTAAGTGAACATTAAAAAAAGCAACTCAAGCGAACCGGGAAAAAACGAAAATGGGAATTTTCTTTCTCAAGCGAATGAAAACGTGACTAATTCAAAAAATACCGAAGAGGAGAAAATGTTGAGAATTGAGAGACGAGAAAAATGAGTGTTTTTTATTTTTTTTGCAGTATCAAACAAAGTAAAAATGTTTGATGTTCACATAATGGAGAGTCTGGAGAACCTGTTGTATTTTGCTCAAGCAGAGGAACAGCCGGCGCATCTGTGGTTCCATATATACTCTCCAGGGACACATTTGTTGACAGTTTAGTAAGTCAAATGGCATTTGGTACAAGTGGCAGGATGAGCAACCCAGCGGGTTTTCTTCCTATTTGGGGTTGTTGTACATGGTGCAATGGCAGCATGTAGAGAGAGAGAGAGAGAGAGAGAGAGAGAGAGAGAGAGAGAGAGAGAGAGAGAGAGAGAGAGAGAGAGAGAGAGAGAGAGAGAGAGAGAGAGAGAGAGAGAGAGAGAGAGACAGACAGACAGACAGACAGATAGATAGGGAGAAAGAAATTGTTCATTCTCTGTATTCTACTGAATCCCATTAATCCAATTACGTCAACTGTAATACAAAATGTGTTTTTAATTGATCAATTGAACAACAAACCAAATCAGCGAAGAACATTTCTTTCTTTTTTTGCACTCATTTGAAACTAATCATTTCCATTTTTCTTACAAAACAACTTACATGAAATCTCTTCCCCCAAACTTAAGCAACTTGTTGCCTCTTTAATATACTGACCTGTTTTTTGCCCTTTCCTTAACAGATTTTCCAATATCGGTTTTCGATGATCCATAAAAACCAACCAAATGAGAACCCGATAGAGGGGTTCCGTCAACCAGATTTCTTTAGCCCGGAAGAAATATTCGCGTGTAAGAGATATGGAGTCAGAGCAGACACATAAAATTTGACTTTAAAAGCTTCTTACATGTTAAATAATTCATATGTTGAGTGAGTGTGTTCCGACTGAGAGGTAGAGAGTGAGAGATATAGAAGAATGGCGCAGAGAGAGAGAGAGAGAGAGAGAGAGAGAGAGAGAGAGAGAGAGAGAGAGAGAGAGAGAGAGAGAGAGAGAGAGAGAGAGAGAGAGAGAGAGAGAGAGACAGACATTTCTAGACCAAAAATAGTTTAGGAGGCTTCCTCATAGCCCAGTCGATAGAGAATCGGCGTCACACGCGTGGGGTCCGCGGTTCGAGGCTCCTACAGCCCAGGTGAGTGGAATCTATGATGGTCTTGGATCAGAGGTCAGTTCTAGAAGACCTTCTGGGCCAACCTCACCAGGACGCCGCCCCCCCCCCTCACCTGCCAGGTAGAGGGCCTTGTTAGTGGGGCTGAGAAGGGTTGGAACAGGTTTGGTAAGGTTGCTGCTGGTAGGGAAGGCCAGGGGGTGTGAGGGGGAGGGGAAGTTAGAGGTTCCACCAGATAGAAGGTGGGACAGGGGAGGGGGTGGTTGTTAGTGGATAGGAGATGGTGGGGGAGGGGGAGGAATGTTGTAAAGGACTGCGGTGAGGATAAATGTTATTTGTAAATATGTGTTTGTGTCTTTCTCTCTCCCCCCCCCCCCCATATAGCTAAGTGCGTGTGACTATGTTCGTGCTTCTATATGCACGTGTTTGCGTGTCTTGTGTGCGTGATACGGTTTTCCATTCACACAGTTCCCAAACAAGAAGATTACCATCCAATATGTTCCAACACACCTGACTCAAGAGACACGGAAAGCTACGATCACATCAAAGATACGGAGCTATATGTTCCAACACACCTGACTCGACAGACACAGAAGGCTTGCCGTTAAGGCAGTAAGCTTTACTCTCGATCTTTGATTCTCTCTCATCTTTGTCACTTTCTAAACAAACTGGATCAGGGTTGCATGTAGCCTCCCACCTGCAGTCTGACCTGCACACCAGCTCCTTGCAGTCGTTGTATCTATGGAAAATGGCATTGTTTAACACCGTTAACAGCAAGAGAGACCATAAGGTAAGCATCAAAAGATCAAAGCTGGCCATTTTTTTCAGCTTTTGGCCATTCTTTACAGAAAAGGGGAATTGGTTTATGAAAGGGCTCGAGTTTGAATAAACACATAGGGCGTTTAGGCTTCCTTCAAATGGGGTTCAAAATATCAATACTTCATTGTAGGAGCCGGTCGGCCGAGCGGACAGCACGCGGGACGCGGGACTTGTGATCCTGTGGTCCTGGGTTCGATCCCAGGCGCCGACGAGAAACAATGGGCAGAGTTTCTTTCACCCTATGCCCCTGTTACCTAGCAGTAAAATAGGTACCTGGGTGTTAGTCAGCTGTCACGAGCTGCTTCCTGGGGGTGGAGGCCTGGTCGAGGACCGGGCCGCGGGGACACTAAAAAGCCCCGAAATCATCTCAAGATAACCTCAAGATGTTTACAAGCTTCCTTACCTGTCATGTGTCTTGCAGCCTCTACGTTATTCTTGTTCATCGCGACCCCATAAGCTGTGTCGCCTGGAGAGACAGTCCAAAACAAAATAGGATTAAAAACAATTAAAATAAAGCTAAAAAAATGATTAAAAACGCAAAAATAATTATAAAAAAGTGAATAATGATTAAAGAATTGAATATTTATTACTATCTAAGTAACAGTGATGAGAAACAAATGGCAGGAATGATTGATAGAATAAATTATTAACATCAATAAAATAAATGAGCAATTGAAAATATAACAATAATACAGAAATATTATTAATACAGGAAATATAACAATTAATACAGGAATGATAATAATTACATAAACAAATATTAATGATTAAAGATAGAGAAGAGTTGCAAATCAAGAAGTATACATCAGTACAAGTTCAGCTTATTGTACTGAATCCTTTTCATAATATTATACATATTTAAGTTTATACATAAATGTACATTATATTGGTGAGTCTCACAATACCTTAGGGAAAAGATTTGTAAACGTATAATACCAACATACAATCCTCAGCATAGACTCATCACTCCCCTCACCATACAATCATCTACATACTCATCATCCTCAACATAGCTACATCATCCCTCAACACAGAATCAGCAGACTCATCAACAGAAAGCCTCACCGTTTCTGTCTTCAAGAGACAGGTCAGGACAGCGGCCCAAAAGGAGATGGAGCAAACATATTTAGTAATATATATAAGTGCAGTATCTCCTGTAATACAAAGGAAGAAAAAATAATGTATCACAATAAACTACAAAATAAATTAATACAGAGGATTGTATTACGTAGAAAAAACTTTTTTCCAGTTTAATACATTCCCAACTATGGTAGTATATGAGTTCAATTTATTTTAATTCAACTTCAGGAGTACGAGTTCAATTAATTTTTTACATTATATATATGTACAATAATTAATTACAAATATATTAATCTGATGACAAACGTTTCACGTCAATCTTTAAAGTGACTTTACTTAGTTTCATATCATTGAAAAATAAAAAAACACTCTGATAATGAGAAACTATCGAAGCAATACAGCGGGATCGAACCCGCGTATCTGGCCGCCTCAGGCACACGTACTACCACATGGACAATGATGGGCTAACACAAACGTCTCAACCCGGAAGTACAGTTTCAAATTTTATCATTGATATCTATTACGTTCTAGTGGCGTCATTGAAGAATATTAAGATAAAACATTTTACCAAAATCGTTGCGTTCGTTGATATCAGCTCCATTAGATAGCAGGTCGAGCAGCCCCTGTTGGTCTTCTTCCTTTGCAGCGAGTATTAATGGTGTCAAACCTGCAATGTTGACAAAATTACCGCTGCAACACCAAATATTATCTATGTAATTATCCCACTTTATAAAATCATAGAAATGTCGATAAATTTGGGGAAGAATTTAGGCAGTTTCTGGATCAGAGAATTTTCAGAAATGTTTAAGAATCTACTTATCATGAATCGCCCAAAAACATAAAAAAACAGAGTTTTGAAATTAATATATTTATAAAAATGCAATTCGGATGTTTTCTGGTCAATAATTTGAGGTAAGGCATCACATCAGTAACTGGATCACGTATCTCGTACACACCTGTACTTGCCTCTTACACACCTGTACTTGGCTCTTACACACCTGTACTTGCCTCTTACACACCTGTACTTGGCTCTTACACACCTGTACTTGGCTCTTACACACCTGTACTTGTCTCTTACACACCTGTACATGCCTCTTACACACCTGTACTAGGCTCTTACACACCTGTGCATGCCTCTTACACACCTGTACTTGGCTCTTACACACTTATACATGCCTCTTACACACCTGTACATGCCTCTTACACACCTGTACATGCCTCTTACACACCTGTACTTGGCTCTTACACACTTATACATGCCTCTTACACACCTGTACATGCCTCTTACACACCTGTACATGCCTCTTACACACCTGTACATGCCTCTTACACACCTGTACATGCCTCTTACACACCTGTACATGCCTCTTACACACCTGTACTTGGCTTTTAAACCTCATCCATAATCTGTACTAGATTATCAGGAGTTAAAACCTATTTATTTACTAACATTCCACCTTTTGATAATCTGTTACCACCAAATAAATCCCTTCCGAAGCTATAACAATCTTGTAAACCTACAAACATTGCTCGCACACATTTTCAAAATATCAATCAACTTGTTGCTGTTGATAAAGTAATAAGGAATGGTTGAAGAAATACTCATTCACTAATCAACATATCTCATGGAATCCAGTAAATATTACAGGCCAGTGTACCTTGGTGGGCGCAAAATTGTTGAAATTTGGGACAATTTTCGGGACTAGTGCTGAAATTATACACACCATTCACTGTATAAAATAAAGTACGTCCATTATGTATAATAAAGTACATCCACTTTATTTTATAAACATGCTGTGCTTTATCTTATAAAGTATATTATCTGTACAACTGCCTGAGCCCCCCAGAAGCATAGGCTTTTGCTATGAAAAAATAATTCCTTGTATGCCAAACGAAAAACCCAATTTTTCTTGCAATATAATCTTTCTATGTTTATTGGTACAGGTGTATTGCCAATTGCATTAAGTATATTGAATTCAGTGTAGTGGTACTACTGCATAGCCTATTATATTTCCGAACATTAATAAGATTTTTACTTAATTTTGAATTCAAAATCTTACCTGCCCAACTACTTACCGTCATTTTCAGCATTATTATCGCTCAAAGTCTCAACTGTTTCCTCAGGCATCTTCCCTGCATTGAAGAAAAATTTGTAATAAGCTAAAATCCTTTTTATTTCGAACGCCCGCCTACCTTCATGTGTTCGAATGTGTCATCAAGTTAAACACACATAAACATAAACACTCCTATGTTTGAAGAAACGGAGGGAGTGGGGGAAGACAGGTAGAGAAGGATGGGTGAATAGGGAAGGAGAGAGAGGGAGAAAAAACAAGAGGGAGAGAGGTGCGAGATAGGGGAAAAGGTGGAGAGGGAAGGAGAGGTGGAAAAAGAGAGGAATAGGTAGGTGGTTGGGGGAAAGTTGGAGAAGGGGGGGAGATATGAAGAGAGGGGGGGGGGGGGAGTGGGGAAAGAGAAATGAGAGAGTGGGAAAAGGGGGGATGGAGAAATATCCGGGCACATCAGGGTACCCTACTAGTATTACTATAACACTTGGCAAGGATATAAAGACAAAGAACTGGGATATGAGGACCATCGAGGATCGAACCCCGACCCAGCAAGAAACGAGGCCTCAGCCGTACCGACCAGTCCATGTAACGAATGTGGAACCTTACAAAAATAACAGAACATATATATACGAAACGGCAACGAAGTATTTTCGAAAAATACCATGCTGCTGAAATATTGTTGCAACCTTCCACTATGAAAGCGACACACACTTTGTCAACATTGGGGAGAGGGAGATGGAGGGGGGGGAGGTATAAACACCCCAAGAGGTGTACCCAGCTTCTCGGTGTGTATACACTAAGAGTTTAGTCTTTGACTATGCTCAGGACTAAAATATACATGCTAATTGGTCAGTAACAAGCATCACGGCCTTGATAACCCTCCAGAGGTTGGCAGGCCTTAGGCCAAACTAAATCATAAATAATTTGAGAGAATTGTTTTATTTTTGCACTGAATGACGAGTTTATTAGGCATCGTCATTCATCCTGATAGTGAATTCAGCCATAATGGAATGTATAACACACTCTAACAGGAACATAACCCAATGGGTTGTTCAGCCTGTGAGTGAACATGCCACCTTAGCATGAATAACTTCATCCCCCTCTCCCCAACAGAAAAAACTACTTAGATTTTCAGCTTATGAGTGAACTTACAGCCATAGCTGTGCTGAAACTTGTCTTCAGGGAGGGAAGGGGGTGAAAACACGACCCTCCTGTCCCTCTCACCTTCCTGGTAGAACACCCGCAAGGTTGTTCATCCTGTCACTTGTTCCCAGACGCAGTAGGGGGGCTTACTTAACCCTCTCGAGGGAACAGTTTATCAAAGACATCACCATTTACTAACACTCTCTGGAGATAATTTTAATGATTGTACTAAAGTTATACATACTATTCAGTGTATGAAAGTACGCCTACTGTATAGAAAAATACACTTTATAAAATAATGTATATCCACTTTATGAAATATAATACATTAATGTTATAAAATATAATACATAAATGTTATGCAAATGTTGCAGTGGATTGTTTTCAATAAATTCGAGATGCAACTGATTGATTTACAAAGCAACTCTATTTGGAGGTAAAAAATTTGCAGACTCAAGAGTTAAATTAGAAAATATTGAAAACGATCAGTTAGTAAATGGATTATCGCAGCAAATTGTAGAAAATGAGGCTTGGAAACTCGAGAATTCCATTTCAGAAACTTTTGACGAAAAACTCTCGCAAATGGCAGTATTAATGTTATTTTCATCGACATAATCATACGAGTCATTATTTTCAGTTATGAGCTTAGTCAAGTCTATTTACAGGAGTAGAATTACTGATGAAACAACCGAATACAAGCTTGATGTAAATGAGAGAGAGAGAGAGAGAGAGAGAGAGAGAGAGAGAGAGAGAGAGAGAGAGAGAGAGAGAGAGAGAGAGAGAGAGAGAGAGAGAGAGAGTAAAAATATTTGTCATTGCTACTGCAGTAGCAAAGGTCAGAGTAAAATATCCTTTTTTCTCTCTCAATTATTGTTTTACGTTAATAATATGAACCAAAGCATATATAATTTCACGTTCATATTTCTTGTTGCTAATAAGGTAAAATATTATTTTTATATTATGTTATTTTTCAATCGTCTTGTTAAAACATATTTTATTTATCCGGCTTTTTAAAAAAAAAACTTTTGTTTTTCAGTCTGTTATAATTAAGTTAATAGTAAAATAATAAATATACATATATACTTAAATGAGCAACAGGACTCCATTTGCTTTCAAAAAGTTCATTATTATTATTTCTAATTAATTAATTTAGTTCTTGGGAATTACAAGTTATTATTAACATAATTCCTAAAGTTGTACCATTTAAAACAAAAGTTGTACCATTTAAAACAAAAGTTGTACCATTTAAAACAAAAGTTGTACCATTTAAAACAAAGTTGTACCATTTAAAACAAAGTTGTACCATTTAAAACAAAAGTTGTACCATTTAAAACAAAAGTTGTACCATTTAAAACAAAAGTTGTACCATTTAAAACAAAAGTTGTACCATTTAAAACAAATTATTAGTTGCCTAAACAAACTTTACTTAAGAAACTTTCAAGCATTTGGTTCTATTTCTCCATAAAAAATTATATAATACAAATATAATGAATTATTGCTTAAAATTCCCATGGGGGACGTGAGATAAATGTAAGATTATTGGCCATTTGGGCACAAATTTTCAGAAAGGCTCGCCACACTTAGCCTAGATCCTTTTCCTAAACAATAACTAGCTAGGCTAGGTGATCATTACTAATCAATATTACTTTGTATTCCTACCTTGTGGTTACCTTGAGGTGCTTCCGGGGCTTAGCGGCCCTGCGGCCCGGTCGTCGACCAGGCCTCCTGACTTCCAGACAAAAGTGAAATTTTTCTTGTTTATCTTTTCTTGTATTTGAAGGCTATTACAATATTATATTAAGTATAGTGCAACATCTACATAGCCTAGTGTAGTAAGTGAAATTATAATACTGCACGTTCAACTGTATTGTGCAAAGTTTATTTGTAGGAGATGGGGTATAGGGTGATGGGGGGGAGGAGACCAGAAATCTGGTACCAAGAGCTGAAGCTCAAGACAAGGGGATGGGAGGGAAGAGATCAGGCAACAGGAACACATGTACAGGTGTCTGGAACGGATGTCTGGCTAGGCTCTTCAACAGCTGTGTTCGATTTAAAGAATAAAAAACTGAAATTAGAAAATTGAGGGATGTCTGTGAGCAACAGAGGACGACCTGCTCTACTGCTACGACCAGCTCTACTGCTACGACCAGCTCTACTGCTACGACCTACTCTACTGCTACGACCAGCTCTACTGCTACGACCAGCTCTACTGCTACGACCAGCTCTACTGCTACGACCTGCTCTACTGCTACGACCAGTTCTACTGCTACGACCAGTTCTACTGCTACGACCAGCTCTACCGCTACGACCTGCTCTACTGCTACGACCAGCTCTACTCTGACGTCTCTTCGTACTTCGACGATCATTCAATATTCGAACATTATAATCCGAACACAATTCATAATTCAAGCACCATTCATAATCCGAACACCATTCGTAATTCAAACATCATTCATAATTTAACCGCCAATTCATAATTCGAACACCATAGTTCGGCGATCGAAACTAATGACTGGGTTCATTAAGACAATTTTTCTCAAACACTTTGAATGTAGTAGATGTCTCCCTCTGTTGGAGACATCTACCACACATCTACATCCGGTGACGGACATATCTACCCGTCCGGTGATGATGTCTGTCAGATAACCAAATTTTTGGTCTATCAGTGAATATGTCTATCTGGTGTCGCTTTTTTTTATCTACAAGTTTTTCAACGTTTGTGGGCAATGTTTTACAATTCATAATGAATGATGGCTATTATATATGAATGAATACTACACAATAATTATTAGTGTGGCAACAGTGACCTGCAGTAAGGTGTAAGGTCATCATTCATCACTCAGGCGTTGAATGATGAGTAGTAAACATTGGTAGGGAGCTGCTAGTTAATTCATACATTTGGCTGCTTCATTCAGTGATTTTTACGTGTTTTGAAAAGTTTAAAAGCGCTGTCAAAATGTCCTCGATATATAGATGTACTGACTGGTGCTTAAGCGTGAGTTATATGCGCACACACACACACACACACACACACACACACACACACACACACACACACACACACACACACACACACACACACACACACACACACACACACACACACACACACACACACACATACACACGGAAGTGATGTGGTGGAAACTCCATCCACAGTTTCAAATTTAGATATGATAGAGCCTAATAGGCTCAAGAATCTGTACACCGGTTGAGTGTCAGTTGAGAGGCGGGACTAAAGAGCCGAAGCTCAACCCCCACAAGCACAACTAGCGCGAGTACAGGTACACACACACACACAGTCGGGATCGATCATTATCCTGGAGCAAACCTGAGCTGTTTTCGAGCAGAAGTGCTCAGTCGTGCTAAGCATCTCATTTGAATAAGTACCTACAGCAGTGTCACAACATTATTTCCTCAACCTGGCGCAGTATCACGTCTGACACTTCTCCAATACGATGCTTCCGTTGTTTGGTGGCCACACTGCGGTCCTGGCTTGTGTACACCGGTGTATGAGGCTACAACACCAAGCCTCAGGGAATTATAAACCCATAAAAATCACCCCTAGTATTCAGCGCTAGGAAATATATGAATTTGATGTACTTCAACGACTTTTCTAAAAACGTACACTTAAATGCTGTCGCCGTTTCCTGAATCCATCTACTCCTAATGTGTACATAATCCCTCGTCCATGGGAGGAGCGTTTTCAATCAAGGTCTATTTTGATTGAAGAGACACGATGAAAGATTGATAAAGATTAAGCCACCCAAGAGGTGGCACGGGCATGAATAGCCCGTACGACACGATGAAACTTTCATAGTTTTATAAACTCGATGTCAGATGGGAAACTGCTCTGGCATGTTGTCGTTTTAGATTTAGCCACTCGGCTGTAACTTGCTGCAGGTTGACTGAGTATATAT